ATCGGGTTATTTCTGGGCTAACATTGTGTGCTACGAAATGGGCGAAATCTCTCGATCCTGTTTGCGACGAGGTTAATTGAAGAAGAGAATGAAGATCAATAAGAAAGAAACTAACGTTTGTTTCTGGAGCGCTCGTGCAGAAGACGAATCCATCTGTTGGACAGGTGGATGATACTCGTTGTAGAATTGTGCATTGTTGGAATTGACTAATATTACTGGGAGCCCGTTTAGGTAACGAAGTCGTTGAGAGTAATGGACAACATACTGAAATATATCGTGGTCTATTAAGAGTCAATAATGACATATGTAGAATTCCTCAGAGGGGCGATTTGTTAGAGGGCAGACTGTTTACAAACCCCTCCTCCCCCGACTACACGGAAAAGAAGCGCTCGTTCTGATTTGAAAGTAACCAACGAGGCGTTACTCAAAAGTACGTACCAAAGCATGATGGAAGGAGGGGGAGGGAACTGGTAGAGGGACAGAATGCTCCTACATGCGCCTGTCTCCATTCGTAAGAAATTTTCTCCCAGATGGGTTTTCGCTAACTATGGAAAGACTGCTCACCTGTAGTAGTTGTAGTACTGATGCACGTCGAAACCACACCCAGTAAAGCGGACAAAACAATTCCTTCCTTTAACCGCTTCATCCAACCGCTTCACTTTCGATTTCTTCACAGCCACTTGTTAATCTGCGCACAAACTACTCCGAGATAATACAGATCTGAAACTTTCATTCCAGACGGTTGGATAGTCTACGTGTTCGTTCGCAGTACGATGAGAAAGGCTACCGACTTCTCAAAAGACCATTTCTGAATCTGGGAGTTTCGTGGCGTGAGGCTACTATAACGATGTCGAGAGCTGTGAAAAATACGAGAGTGGTATTTGGGAATGTAGGTACTTCTTTTCGGAAATCGCTTCCGCAAAGAATCCCACACCCCCTAGCTACCACTCTCGTATTCTCCACATCGCGCGCTACAGAGGGGGAGGATACAGTAGTTGCCTCGTCGCGACTGCACCTTGGCGTGGGAATTGGGTTAGAAGTACCGTCGCCCGTGGTCAGGCCACAGTATGAAGTCTTCGAGCATACTTATCTGCAGTGCAAATGTTACGGAAAAGTATTGTGTCGCGCGTGCCGTATGCTGCACGAAAAATTCGCGCTTGATCTTGGGATCAAAGCTTGTGAAAAAAAATCTGTAGCACGACTATATGATGAATAGCGAAGCAGCATGCAAGGTATTACCGTAACTTCCCAGGAAAACTTCAAAACTATTAGATACAAAGGTATATGAGCTTTGGTGAAGAAAGCAGTTTCGAGAAGCGATATAAAATTCTTCAATCAGTGTTACATATGAAATACATAAATGAAGTAGTTGACAAATTTTTTTGTTCCAGCCAACTTTAGAAGGGCTTGTAACATGAAGGACACTCGTATATTTCAACTACACGGCTCTAAAAGGGTAGCATGAGCTACGCTGAAGGCCTTTTGAACTTGGGCTATAGGTTCAGACGCCCCTATGGATCCACAATTGAGAAGAAGGAGCTTTTCTGATGACTTGCTGACTGCCTTTTTCTCTTGCTACTGTACTACCACTAAAGTCAACTGGTATTGTATGTTGTAAACTCAATTTAAGGTGAATATAGAAACAGATTTCTTTGATTACTTTTTTGGTTATTTTTTGTTGAGGGGTTGCTTTGAAAATTCCGGTGATTCCTCTAGAACAGGGTTTTTAGCTCATAAGTGAACTCTTAGAGACAAAGACTTGGATTTTATAAGAGTGATTTTTGAAGTTTGCAAGTTTAAGACAATTGCAGAAATTGGGTCATGCTTTCCATACGTCTGTCCAATCCTCATCGATCATAACTGTCAGTAAACTTTCACAAATATAATTGATCCTCTCTCATAACTTTCATTTTGATTGACTGGAGAAAGCTAGAGGTATGCTCCCCCTGTTGAGTTGAATGAGTTAAATTTAACTATTTTCTTGGATTTAACTATGAATGCTCCGATCTCTAGCCATGATCTGAAATTCTGGGAGTCAATGGTTTAGAGGTGTACTGCGGATTGCAAATGCAAACCTTTTTGATTTGTGAATATCTTCGTTTCAAGTATTTCAAAACAGGTAAGGACGCTTCCAGAGCAGAGCGATGAGCGTTGAGCGCTAAGCGTCAGGGCCGCATTACCACTTACAGTTATATTGTTTCTACTTCTGATATTCTATTTGTGATATACAAAAAAATTGTGTAACGGAACTGATAAAAACTTGATCAAGAATTCATTCACCGCCGACCCCTACGGTATCGATCGGAGATTGGCATTGTCAACAGAGCTCAAGCTCCAAGTTCGGCGCTGATCGCTCAAAGCTCTTCTCTGAACGATGCCAATGGCGGAAAAACAAGTGCACTAGTAAGTAGTTCTAGCGACTCCTCCTGTGTTAGTCCTCTATAGGTCTATATTTTTGATTTCACGATTTTTACAAATTCAAATATGGGTGAACTGGTGGAATGCCAAGTGCACCTCTGCACGATTGCTACTGAAATTAGGGTCTTAAACTGGTTCCGTAAAGGCCAGCCAAACATTTCATTCCACCGGGGTTTAATGAATGGTACAGCACAACCAATCAAATCGTCACTTTAATTCTAAATCAAAGTCTAGTGCGTGGGCGCATCCCAAAACGGGACTCAACGCCAAATAGCTTTATCTTTAATCCTTTTATGAATTTGGACCAGAAATTTCTATTTCTGACGTCTGAACACTACATATTCGATGCACTACCAAGAAGAACCAGTGTTGTATCAAATACACTATGCACTATGGGGGTTTGAGCTAACGACTTGCATGTTCGCAAAAGTCTAGGTCTAGGTTTCTTACTGTGACAAAAAACTTTCTGAATACAAGCAGATTTTGCTTCGACTCAAAAAACGAACTCAAAAAAAAATTTGGTCTACTGCATTGAGAATTTGAAGTCGTACAGAGCAAATAGATGAATTTATGTCACTCAAAAGTGTATTCAATGAAAGCATGAATACCAAAAAAGGTGTCAAAAGGCAAAAAAGTTCTTCCGAAAAAAAAAACAAAGAATATAAACAGTTCTTTCGAATTTGTTAATTCGACATTTTTTTTTTCAAAAGTGCAAAAATGATTCATATCCCCCACTGAATTCGTTGTTCTTATTGTATCTTCTATAAAAATTTTGTGAAAAACATTTCATAAGGACTAGCAAAAACTTTAAAAAACATCAAAGAAACTTTGAAAAAAACGAACATTTCGTTGTGGTGCTAGAGGAAATTAAACACTTGTTGGATATCGTAAATCATCTCAAGTTGATTAGACCATTGATTCAATTAACAGTTTCACCTGAGTGATTCGAATGAGAGGCAGAAAAATTGTAACAACGCAAACGGTAAAGCCGAGGTTAATGCAAGAGAAAAACTGAAAATACTAAAGTGAATTTTCGTCAAATGATGTGGTCTAAAAAGACTTTTCGCTTCTTTTTCTTTTCTCTGCACGCTGCGATGGACAATGTTCCAAAGAAATTCCCATTTATCGTGGAAAAAATGTTCTATTATAGCAACTTTTGAATGATATTAATGAAAGCAGCATCACTATGAACCACGCTCTTTCAATTTACTTTTGGGAAAGTCAGCATTTTCGTAGAAATACTTGTAACCAATGGGGAGTTGGTTTAGTGGCAAACTGGCGCACTATCACATAGGCACGGTCACGGGATCGAATACCGGGTTCACATCTGCCCAGCCCTTTTTTTCTGTTGCTGTTCGGCAACTGCACTTGCCCTGTACGTAATAAATAAATAAACAAATAAATAAATAAACGACAAAGTCAAAGTTAGGAGAAATGGAATGAAAAAGGTTACGAGAAATAGATGTTGTATAAACTGTAATTACAATACTGAAATATCATAAGTCGTCAAAGTGATTGTAAAAAAGTCGAAACGGACGGCGTTCGTCATGGAGGGCGGTGTGAGATATTGTATGGATATTTCTCGCGACACCGTCATGGACACATCGTTAATCATTTTTTGAAACAACAGGTCGGAATCACGCCAGAAGTCGCACTTTCGCAAGATGAAAGAACCCATGCCTAGAAATCATCATATGGATTTCCCTAGCGGGAATATTTCGTTCGAAAGACGTGTCTCAGTTCAAGTTATGCAAAACTTAGGAAGAGGTAAAACTTTGACTCATCAACAATCATCATCCTCCGCTCTCGAACTGATCTTTGCTGAAGTCTGCTGAAGTCGCAGTACTTCTGAATCAGTGGATTATTTATTTGTTTATTTATTCATTCATTTGTTTATTTACTGCATGTCAAGCATGCGTGGTGCCAAATGGCAACAGAAACAGAATCACAACAAGATACACACACAGCATAATATAATTAAAAATCAAATGTATTATGGAGAATATAATTAACGTAGAACATGAATTATATTTTCCATAATATATTTGAAATTAAATATTATTTATATGTTAAATTACATTACTATATTATTATTATTTCAAATATTTTCATGGAAAACGAGTAGAAAATCGTAAAGATGGAATTTGAAGCTAAATCCGCTGCGGAAAATCGGTCTGAGTTGCCGAATGATTATCCTTTGGTACATGGTTTCGCCAGTGACGACCACCTTCGCTTTTCACTTGAGTTCAGCTACGATCGAGGAGGGACCATTTCAATCCGCTTATTTGCTTTCTTTGTATACAGCCAGGCCGGTGCCATCACTCGGTTTGACGAGAGAAAAGGACGTGATTCCAGAAATGTTCGTGTGCTATCTTCACTGTTGAAAAGAATGGAGTATGTTGAAGAAGAATGGGTCCTAAAGCCAATTCTAATGACTAACTTGAGTTTACTGACTCCCATTCAGGGATGGACCAGATAAAGTTCACGACAACGCAAAATTTTTCTTTTTACGCGATGAAAATTTTTATTATGTTCATATATTACATTATTATACATATCGGTGGACTGTTGGTGAACGTGCACTAGTTGACAGCCTGTCCAATGACATAGCCCAGGTCCGTGCCAGTAGAGCCGTCTTGAGCGCAAGAGACCTAAACGACCGTTGGTTTGATTTTTCTGATCGACCGTTTATTGTATGCAGAAGACCGTACCGAAGTGATCGGAACGAATTGGTCCGTACCAGTGCTGCTGACCCGTGCTGTCCACACACCATTTCTACAGTACACCTGAAAATGTGTTGTAAAAGGGTACAGGCAATTGGGCTTTCATAAATGTTACAGCCCAGTTGCATGGTGAAGTGGTCATTGTCTGGATGCACTTACAGTGGCTGCTAGTGTGTTTCCAGTATTTGTGTACGTACGAACGACACCTCCAGCTGCATTGAAGACTTCAATCTGCATCCGAGCTGGCTAAAAAAGAACTTAGACAGATCTTTCCCTTTACAGCGCAGGACTAGAGAGGAAAGAAATACTCAAAACCTCAGCTGACGTGGAGTAGGCGAGAATTTCGCCAAAGCTTGGTAGAAAAGGCAATTAGTTTGTATCATAGGCGTCTAGTTCAAATTTTCTGGCGAATCTTTGATAATTTAAAACATTAGCATTATAGCTAATCAAGCCTAACGAAGTCGGACGGTTTCAAACCAGCCACTACTGCCCGTTCACGTATAGAATATCTTTTTTAAATGGGACGTTCGGAAAAATAGTGGTGTTAGCCTTCGGCATCAAATCTAAAATAGTTTTTGGAGTTGATCTTTTCTAAATCTAAGGAGTCTAAGGAGTCTAAATTTTCTCCAGCATGGTAGGGATGCGTCCCCACATTCAATTCAAATTCGGTAAGGCAGTGGGGTAATGAATGCGTAGTGGGCCTATACAATAACTTGAGGTGGCTAGGCGATGAAGGAGCGGATAGGTTATCCTCCCGGACGAATCCGGTACCACTCAATCGATAGCGGAGTAATGGGAGGCTCTGTCTTGAATTTCGAGCGGAGCCTTAGATCTACCTTTTTTCGATCTTATAATCTACGGCAGCTGCATATGGATGGGAAGGGCCTACATCGTAGGCATGGTGAGTCAGTCATACACACTTTTGCCCGTTCGTCCTCACAATGGTAAAAACAATTGAAGTGGAAATAATGTGAAAATATTCTGTGAGAATTCAGCTGCTCCTGATCGTTGTCATAAATGAAAAAGTGTTGCCCTCAATCCCAGACACCTTTGGAGAAAAGAATTGTGAGCCTTAAAACCATCCGAAGCACTGAGCATTTGTTCCATTCGTAAACGACCTATTTCATCAGAAGCGCCAACCCTTGAAAACTGGCGAAGGGTATCAAGTAGTTATAGCATCACCCAGGAAAAGGTGAGAGAAGGAAAAACTGACATTTGTGTCTGGAGCGGCATCGCAGAATATGATGCCATCTACCGGACAGGTCGAGGATAATCGTCTCAGGATTGAGCACTGTTCAAATGTAGAGGATGACGGGTTCCTCTTGGGTAGAGTCGTTTGAGACAACATCGCACAGCATGCTGGAAACAATCTTTTAATTCGTAACAATTTTCTTATCATCACCTAGCATTTAATTGAATACCATTACCCTTTAGTACTGGAATTATTGAATAGACATTCAGACTATCACGTCTACGGCGAAAATTCTCTTTTTTTACAAGGTCCTAGCGGTATTTTCTATCTCTTCACGGAGGGATTTGAAAAATCTGCTCAGACAAAAAAGGCCCAACACACTCACGCGAAAAATTTCTCAAAATTATGTAGTTTAGTAGAAAAACGAGATCCAATTCAAATGAAGGACGTCGGTTCCTAATCGTTGGTCAAGATAAAAAATTAAAATTCTTATTAAATCTAAGAAGATAAGATCAAGTCACAGAAATCACACATGTCCAAGGAATGAAAATGAAACGGTCGACTCACGGGTGGTTGTCGTAGTGATAGTCTGGGTAGGTACACAAGCCTGGTAAAGTGGCAGAAGTGTCACAAGTACGATGGCGAAAAGCATAGCGAATCAGTCACCGATGTAGAGGAGACGGCTAAAATCTAAGTGATGCTTGTGGCAACTTCGGGCCAAAGTGAACCCTAAGAGCTATGCCCAGGTTCGTCTCGAAGGCGGAGCGCATTAGTTTATAAGCGAATGAAAATTCCATCCGTCAGATATGCCTGATTTCTCTCCTTTCGCTGAAACGAAACAATAGCGCTCCGCGGACGACAAGCGGTCGTATAAACTTTCACCGGATATATGAATGATAAAGATGGACATCCCGGAAATTTATGTAGCCGGCGAGAATTTATAGCTCGAACATGACCCTAATTTTCATGCTGATATTAATAGTACAGTGAAGTTTGTATAAAATAACCTGTATAGTCCACTATTACCTATTTTCATACGTTTTGAACAGAGGAAAGTGAACAAACTCAAAATCAGAGCGACATTCGGTTTTTAGATGAAAATGGAGATATTCTATCACTTATAACTTGATTTTGGAACCTTCACTTCTCTAGTGAATATTTAAAGATTTGAAACAGCATTATAGATAATAATTGAAAAGTTTAAGCATTCAATTATTACCTGTAATGGTCTAATTATTATCTAATTATTAATTCATTCTAACTATTATCTATATCTATTTAAACACAAGCAGATCACTATTGCCCCTATACGGAATGATATAACGTTTTCTGGAAGTATGACATTCGAAAAAATGGTGGAAGTATAACCAGGCGTATGAAGCCCAGAAATGATTTTGTTGCTGATCAATCCCGTTTTTGGATAAGCCCCTACATTCAACCTCTATGCGGAATGGTGGTGGCGTAAATGATTTGCGGTGGCCATCCAACGTACAAGTAAAAGTTCAAGTAGTCACAGTCATACAGTCTGTCCTTCAGCAAATAGGCATGGTAGGCTCTATTTACGTGCAGAATCACTGAAGACTAGCTATTATAGGTTGTCAGCAGTGAGGCTACAAAATTAGAGAGTAAATGCTGAATTATTGGCTGCTTTCATAGTCCGCCGGACGGCGGGCCGGCGTGCCACGAGGCAGTGCTAGGGGGGGAGGAGGGCGGCAGACGGTTGGTCGAAGGGATGAAAACAAAGAAGAACAAGAACAAAAACCAAACAACCAGGGACTGGTACAAACGGTTTTTGATCTTGTCTCTCCTTTTTTACAGTCCTTCGAGGGGCTGACCGACCGTCCGCCGCCCTCTTCCCCCTAGCACTGCCTCGTGGCACGCCGGCCGGCCGGCCTGCCGGCGGACTATGAAAGCAGCCATTCATTGCTGAGTGATGAAAAGCAACAAAGTAAGGCTCTCGTTTACGCAGTTGATTTTGGGAAAGGTATAAAATAACGGAGGTCGTACAGAAAGCACTAAATCGCAGGCATGACACGGGGAACGAGTCCCAATATACGACTTACGAATCAACACTTTCATCCCTACTTGGTTGATTTATTTTTATCGGACTCATCTAGGAGGACAAAAATACTGAATCTTATCACATTAATTTCATTTCATCAGCTTTACTCCACGAGCCCATTCCACATGCGCATTGACAGCACCAACAAGATTCTGGTAGAAGTCCAATACGGGAAAGCATCCTGAAAATGAGATCGAAAGCGCCGATGGACTTCATCTTCATCTCTCCCAAAAACAACGCTAACAATTGGACAGTCGGGTGTAACTGTTCATGACGGATGACACCCATCATTGTTCCCTCACGATTAATTTTAGTGCTGCGACTTTATCCTATAGGGCTGAATTGTCTCTATTGGAATAGGCATTGGCTGAGAGATTTATGACTTATTCACAATTTCTAGGCAACCATGGCGTCCCATTTACCTATATATAGTCCTCCTTAGCATCCAGCCACTCTCCTAGGCACACATTTTATAAAAATCGGTCACCTTAAGATAATCCACGACGCTTTCATAAGGTATAGTTATTTTCCGTTAAGTACGTTATGTACTATCACTTTGAGATGAGGAATAGAAGACATCGCTAAGTAGCTGGCCGATGAACTGGCCAAGACTCCTACCCTTCCAGACAATTACATTGCCAGCCAAGGGGTTTGAATGAAGGTCTATGTAGGGGGTATCAGTTGGGAACTTCTTATGAGGGTCCTATGTGATGGTGCCCTTACATGGAGATAGCGTCAATAGCAAAGTTGTAAACAAAACAATCCATAAGAAGTAGAACGCTTGTGCTATGCCTTCAGCGTAATCTTATTGTTAGATGCAATACGTCTGAAGGACTCCTATTTGTTACTATTCCATTAGCATTCAATATCTTCTATATCCTCTGCTCGGCTATGCTAGCAGCTCGAACAACAAGCTTGCCCCTTTCATTTTTCTTAACTTTCAACTTTCATCTAATGGTAAGTGTAAGTGGAGGGTAAGCCAGTAGAGTCAAGAAATCTCAGTCACATCTATTCCATCAGGCAAATGGAAGTGACGGTAAACCTGCGAGAGAACTTTCATGTTCTAAAGTCATAGCACGGCTATTTCCTGCCAAAATATTTGACCGTTTCAGTGAGAATAAGTTTGTGTTTGTGCACGCTGTGTGTTCGCACTGTTTGTGATTTGCAACCAGGCGGCTCGTTCTGTCAACATAAGCTTTGTAGTCACGTTGAGTGCTCGTCACATGGTCAGATCGTTGCCCCGAGATCCTTGGTGCTCCGATTACCCATTTCCCTCCATGGCATTTTGACTTGAACATTCGCCGTTTCATAAAGGCCCATCCAGGT